AGATAGATAGATAGATAGATAGATAGATAGATAGATAGATAGATAGAGTGAGTGAGTGAGTGAGTGAGTGAGTGAGTGAGTGAGTGAGTGAGTGAGTGATGAGTGAGTGGTAGGATTCAAATTTTTTTACTACCAGTTCTGTGGGCATGGCTTGGTGGGTGTGGCAGGGGAAGGATACTGTAAAATCTTCACTCCTTCCCCACCCCAGTAACCTGCTTCCCAGCTCCGTTCTCCTGTGCAGGGCAACAAAAGAAGACCCAGCCGATCAGATGGGACTTGGGAGGCAGAGAATAGATCGGGATGGGGCCAGTCAGAGGTGGTATTGCCGGTTCTCTGAACTACTCAGAATTTCCGCTACTGGTTCTCCAGAACTGGTCAGAACCCGCTGAATACCACCTCTGGATAGATAGACAGAATAGTAGAGAACATACATATAATATAATATATAAAAAGAAAAAGGCATGAAGTGTTGAGATTGAGGTTTCTATCCAAATGGAATTCCTCTTTACAATACCTATGAGGTAATAGCAAAGCTCCCCATACAGTCTGTTCTCTGATAGGCACAGATTAATTTATTCTGCATTGAATGATAGGAGCCCCTTTTCAAGTTTATGTAACATGTCAGGCTGTTGTGAAGGATCCCACATTTAGACATGTACTGGCACAACGCTGAAGGCTTCTTTTTCATTTTTTTATTTTTGCAGGACAACAGTGACTTCAGGGGTCATCTGTTCTCAAGCTTGAAACGCTTATTCTATTCAATTTTCTTCCTCCTGCCTCCCTATCCCTATTTTTAAGACATAAGAATTTATTTGTCATTACACTCGCAAGCGGGTGCAACGAAATGAGGTGCTCTTCCACAAGTAAAACTGGACAACACCATTGAAAGAAAAATAAAACTAGACACAACAAACCATACAATAATCTCTATACAATTTAAAAATGTAAATACCCCATTACTCTCAGCCATTTTGATGAAATACCAAGCAAGCACCCTTTTTACTTCCTCTATAGACTGAGACCCGTACAGGTTTCGGCTGAAAGGGCACCAAAAGAGAGAGAGAGAGGGAGAGAGAATGTAACCGAGTGTAGCTAAGCATTTCACGCTATGCTCTATTAATTCCTTTTCAGAAGAAATGGCTAAAAATAGACTGGAGCAGGTGGGGGCATCCCACGGGGCTAGAAGGGATGGCAGAGAACAACTTCACAAGTAGATTTTATGGTTAGATGCTATATTTTGACTAATTTAGCAGCTCTTCCCTCCAAGGGGCCATTCTGAGGGGAAGACCCACCTACTTTCAAATTTCCAAATGCCATTAAATGGTGCAAAACTCTGTCTTACTCATGCAGTTGTTGCACAGATCTTAACATACTACTTCATCTGTCTGAAGTCCTATCTGCTTCATCAGTATCATCCTTGGAGGTCTTCTAGTAGTTCAAACCCTGCTCAACAGGAGACCTTGTACCAACCTGGACAAATGACTGACCAATCTCTTCTTAAAAACCTCCAGTGATGAAGCACCTACAACTTCTGGAGGCAAGTCGATTAATTGTTTTTAACTGTCAGGAAATTTCTACTTACTTCTAAGTTGCTTCTCTCCTTGATCAGATTCCACCCATTGCTTCTTGTCCTGCCCTCAGGTGCTTTGGAGAATAGCTTGACTCCCTCTTCTTTGTGGCAGCCCCTTAGA